AAGTCAAAAGAGTAAGAAGATCCTAGATACGGATATAAGTTAATACATATTGTTCCTTGTTCACATGTGCACCTTCGTGTACATATTTTATTTTCTCACAATTTCTATCTTTTTCCCGGCCCATTATCCACCATTCTTGTGCAATTTTTATTAATTAACGTTTAATTATTCTAACTGACCAAAATTTCATAAGGTGAATAACAGGTTTTTTTTTATGAAACGCTCGTGGCTTGACGCACGCTTGACGGATTAATAGAAAATTATATCGTGGAAGAAATTTGTATTGTTATTAAATAGCTAAGGAATAATTTGACGATTTTAAAATTAAAATTATCCGTTTGTAATATCTATTTCAGAGAACCTATTTTTAAAATAAACCGTAAGGAAAATGAATTCCTATATAATTATAAAACGAAAAATATGGATTTTAATTTCTTCGAATTGTTTCTGAGTGATAATTTTAAATACACGAAGGATTAAAATTTTGAAGGATATTAAATTTTTCTTTTTCTTCATGCGAGGAAAAAAAAAGAAGAAATGGAAGTTTTAGATTTGAAAAGAACAATTTGTACAAAAATGTTTTCGAAACATTAATCATTCTAATCTGGAGAAAAGAATTTAAATATTTTTATCTTAAATCGTAGAGTGGTTGGATAAGTTAATGGACGGGCACAAAAATTTTAGGATGTTGGCCATCGAATTCATATGCACGAATGAAACCGATGTCATCGATATATAGTCATGGACTAACGGAGAAACTTGATTCGGTCAGATTAGACGTCTATTCGGTCGATGACCTTACATAGTCCAAGATTCTGTTACCTATTCATTGATCTTTCGGAGAAATAAACGATGACGCGTTTAATCGGGAATATGATGTTAATTTTCGTAGAACTTTGACTCAAACAAGTTGTATATGATATTCATAATTTGTTCAAATTCTTTCTTCTCGTTTTGAATTTTTTAAAATTTCCATTTTTTATCTAATTTGATTATGAATGCAATCTGAATATCGTTTCTTTTATAAGTAATAATATAATAAGTAGGATAAATTAATAATATTAGCTCACAATGCATCATCTTCATGCATTTAATTTATCAAGAAAAAAAAATATTTAAAATTTAAAATATATATCTTCATCAAATTATCAATAGAGATCTTAAGACTATATATTATTAAATACATTTATGGGAAATTTAGAAGTATATAAAAATACAGAATGCACGTTACAATATTTAGATGAAACAAATACAAATTTAAACATAAAAAATATGATTTTCCACAAACGTGCACAATGTTAGTTATCGAGAAATAGGTGCCCTATGGCTTTTGATATTGAGTGTACGTCCGTGGATGCACACCTACATGCGTGGACGTTACGTTTGTATGGCGGTCGTGGTATGTGGGTCAGGAAGCCGATGTTACTAACAAGTGACTCGACACCGCTAGCTTTCGTCGCCACGAAATTTCCGCCTCTACCAAATCTGGTCCTACGCAATTCGTCGGTTACCGTGATGCTGAAAGTGTCCTAAAAATGCATGGGTTGACAGTGAGTCACCTAGTTCCGCCAATGGACGATCGTACTTACTTGCGAATTTCAGTCACGTGTCTGGAAAAAAGTATATCGCGCCGACAACGTGTCTCGGTGACCCCCTGATCTCAAGTTTAACGCTTGGTAAATGTATTCTTTGGAAGTCGAGTGAAAAATTGTGAGAGTCGTGTATTAACTTTTTGTTGCGATCTTTTGCGGTGCAAAAATATTTAGTCTTTCTAGATATTGCATATAAAATATTTTTTGTATCATTATCATTATATCAATTGGGTTGTTTAGTTGATTATTTTTATATGGATCATTTTTAGAGGTTTTTCTCTAACATGAAAGGAAAATTTTAAATAATTATGAATTCCATAGTTCTCGAGATTGTATATTTTATATTCCATAGAATTTTGAAGTGGTTTACAATTAATATTATAGTAACCAAATTTGAAATCCAAGATTTCAAAAATCTAAATAAAGTTTCCTAACCTCTAAAAATTCTTTCGAGAACGATCTGTCACTGTAAATGAATTTACTATTAATATCTGAAAATTAATGCTAATGCGCTCACTGATAACAAAATTGACAAAAGAAACGTCAAATATCGACATGTAATTGAAAAATTTAATCGGTCATTTTAAATTCGTAGAAGAATTTTGCTTTTAATAATTCGAATCCTTACTTATGATGAAATATATATTTTCGTGCATTACGTTTCTAATCGAATATCCGCGACCTCTTCTCGGTCAACTGACACGGAATGCAACAGGAAAACGAGAGAGATGTCGATAGTGACGAAGAACGCGGTTAAATGCTACTTTTTAACAAACGACACAGAAAGTTTCCAAGTTTGACGCGTCGGTACATCTATATTGATCTTAATTCGTGATAAAGTTTCACGCTGAGATTGCTACTTTCTGAATAGAATGCTTAATTGAATAGAAAGATAGAATTTTTTTTTTTCTACAGTTTATGTAAATTTATAATACAATGTGTACAACAGATTTGAATAGATATTGAATAGATATACGTTATTCGTATTTTACATTTATAGCGTTAGATAATGCCGAAGTACTTATTATTTATATAAAAAAATTTTGTAATGAAAATCTTTGATATTCATTTATTCCATTATAGTGAATACAATAAACGGAAATTAGAAAATATTTGAAAAACGCTATATTAACTTTTAATTCCGATAATAGTTTCATTAATTAGATTGAAATTAAAATAACAAAAGTTCATCGATATATTTATACTTCATATAATTACAATTTTCGTTAAAATTTCGATACAATCAATTTAAAATTTAGCCATTGTCAGCAAAAAAAATGAGATTTGAAACGGTGTGGCGTTCTAAGCAGGAAGAACCAGTAGAATGATATCAACGAACCGCGTCATCCTAAACCGGACCGTCTAACCCTCGATGGTCGAGCTTCCTTATTCAAGTTAATTGTTTCTGCCTCGCGCCAACAATGAGATGCGATCGTACCTTCACCTCGAACGTGTTGACTAACGTAGCCGTGAAATTTAATAGTCCGCGAGAAAGTGTTTCGCATGCTCGAGCTACATCGCTGTATATATCCTTTTCGATCGTTTCTAGGAAATGGAGAAATACGTATGGATACGTGAATCGATGTTTATAACGAAATATTATCGATTCTATTCATTTATAATTTTAAGATATACGGTGGAATAATGTGCAAAGAAAATTGTAATAATAATTAATTTGACAACGAAAATAATATAAAACTCAAAATTTTAAATTAAAATGCATTGTACCATACAAGCAATTTAATAATACGTTTATGAAGATTTCTATGATACGATTGACGCGTTATAAATTTTTTCAAAAAATGTAAAAGATGAGAAAATATTGTATCATCAATATATACAAAATTTTTATTTTATCATTATTTTTTTTATCGAAATCGATATTTATCGCTGTGAATCTTCTTGATACTCTCGATACTATATTCGATAAAAACCTTGATTTGATTTCGAGGGAAATGAGAAAATAAGAAAAGTAATATTTTTTTTTCTAAAAATTGTTTGAAATTAATGAAATACATTTATTTGTAATAAAATAAAAGATTCGTTAATTTTAAAAAAATAATCATGCCATTCGTGCTATGACTATTCACTTTAAAAATCAATATACGATATAATTATTTCCTTTATGTGTGTGAATGTCGCGATTCGAATAATGAATAAATTTGCAAACTGCGCACACATCATCCCGTTATCATCACAGACTGGAAAATTCTAGTAGCATTTAAATGTAAATTGAAATACGTTTATAAAATTGAAACAGTACAACGATATACATATACAGTACAACGAACGATCTCTTGTTCGTGTCTCTCGTGTGAGTAAACCGTGCGCACTTTAATTAATAATAACGAATATTAATTAATTCATTAACCTAATGAATTCGAGTACTTATACTTATTATTTAAATTTATCATTTAAAATCAACTCGAAATACGTTGTGCACACTCGACAAATACAAATGCATCTACGATTTACAATGATCATTCATTTCATCTCATTTTTCTTCCCTCGAACCAACCTCTCTTACTTCCCCCCCTCTCCTCCCCTAATCGAATACTGCAGATATCGCAGATATCGCGCATCTCACACGTTAACTTTGCTGCAACAAGTTTTCAACCACCGTTTCCAATTCTCATCTCTCTCTCTCTCTCTCTCTCTCTCTCTCTCTCTCTC